TTAATCGCTCTGTTCAGGCCCGAGCTGCAATTATTTCTGCCAAATTAATTGGCGTTTTGGGGGCCTTAACATATCCCAAAAAACATCCAAATATAGCGGACACATCAGGACTGGTGAAAAATTACGTATTTTAAGGGCGTGGCAAAAATCTAAACAGAAACGGCTCAAGAGCGCCACCTAGAAATTTTCAAAATACCCTCCGCATTAACCTTAGTTTGTCGTAAAAACATGAAATTTGGTACACTTGTCCATTTCCCCAAGATGCACAGAAAACCCTCTGGCACCAACGTTGTACGATAAACAGGAAGGCAGACATTTTGGAATGCAGGACCAATTTTCACACCTTTTTGGCCGTTTACAGCCTCCGCATTTGAACAAACTCCTCCTAGGGATTTCGCTCAATCGGTTTCAAACTTGGCCATTTTGGTCAAAAGGCATGCCGGATGAAAAGTTATCAAAACAGTGCATTTTCATGCATGCTGAAGGGGCGGGGCCAGACCTCAAAGTTTGACATCTCGCCATGAAAAACGAAACGCTAATAGCTCCTACACGAAAACTGAGACATCGAACCTTCAGTGATTGATCCACATCCGGTCACCTGCAAGACTGAATGGTCAAATCATGACTTAACTTAAGCCACGCCCCTTGACAACAGGAAGTGTAAAGTTTTACCTTGAACGGTCCCTATCTGACCCCTGTCACCTGATCAGCATGATAGTGTGTCCAGTGACCGAAGACATGTTGGTGTAACTAGCTTTCCAACACTGACAGTTTGGGGTGGAGCATGTGGGCGTCGCGATGTGGCAAAGTAAGACGTAACGCTGTCTCCATACGTTTGGCTCTAAATTCCACAGACTTGAACCAAGGTGCACCAAAATCAGTATGATCGATCATTATCCACCCCTTGAACAGCAAGCCATGATAATTGGCCAAAAGCCTCCACAGCGCCCCCTAGAATATTTTAAAACCTCAGCCCCAAGCCATTTTTTGACCGATAATTCTGAAACTCGGGAAATATCTGTATCATCTCAGGACCTATGAAAAAGTCTCTTGGAGCCCTGGTCCAACACCAACAGGAAGTTGGCCATTTTGGATCAAAGGATCATTTTTGGAAGTTTCTAATGGCGAATTTTAACAAACTCCTCCTAGGGATTTTGAGTGATTGCCTTCAAACTTGGTTAATAAGCCCTTAAGACATTGGAGAGTAAAAGTTATCAAAAGCTTTCGGTTTTGTTTTGTTAAAGGGGCGTGGCCAGGCCTCAAAGTTGCACTTCACGCCATGAATTTAGAAACGCTATAACTTGCACATTGAAAGACCAAAATGCAACAAACTTGGCATGACTCATCCCTGGTGGATACCTGACGATCCACTGTGGTCAATTTTGATGTCATGAAAGCCCCGTCCCCTCAGACCAGGAAGTCTGTTTTTAGGCCCGAGCAGCTAAGCGCAGCGAAGGCCTATTGTAATTGCTCTGTTCAGGCCCGAGCTGCAATTTTTTTCCGCCAAAAAACTGTTATATCTCAGTGATACATCATCTGATCTGGACCAGATTTTTTGTGCGTCATTACTGAGCACTTATACACACAATGATGTTGCTGTTTAACTTTTGACTCCAGTACGCCCCCTACATTATTCCAACAGTTATATCTCAGTGAAATATTATCCAATGTGTACCAGATTTATTGTGCATGATCACTGATCACTTATGGACACATTGGTATAGTTCTTTAGTATTGTTCTTTAACATTTAACGCAACTGCGCCCCCTAGATTATTCCAACAGTTATATCTCAGTGATACATCATCCGATCAGAACCAGATTTTTTGTGCATAATCAGTGAGCAAGTCTAGACACACTCATACTATGCTTTAACATATAACTCAAGAGCGTCTCCTAGATTATTTAATCAGTTATAGCTCTTTGAATTATCATCCAATATGTACCAGATTTATTGTGCGTGATCAGTGATCACTTATAGACATATTGGTATTGTTCTTTAACATTTGACTCCATTGCACCCCCCAGTTTATTCTAAGAGTTATATCTTTGTGACACATCATCCGATCGGAACCAGATTTTTTGTGCATAGACACACTGGTATTGTTGATTCATGACTTATCTTAAGCCAGGCCCACTCAGAGAAAAAACTGATGATTATTGGATGACTCTTCTAGATTGGCAGTGTGTAAGATTTAAGACTGAAACCGTATTTGCTAATTGTTGATTACCACATATGACATGTTGAAAAGCCTAAAGAAAGTATTTTACATTTGTGACAAAACAGAAAGTGACAATAACTCACGTCTGGAAGGTCAGATTTTAGCCAAACTTGTAAGGCTTGAAGCCAGACTCATACTGATATGGGCGGGAGGTGATTGCAAAGTTTCGGCATAAGCGCACCCTGGTGGATGCGTGCGGGAATGGCATGAGAGCGTTTGCAATGGCGACTGTGAGGCGTTGCTGCAGCTCCCGCGGTCGCGGGTTAAGTCGAAGGTTTGGCCAATGCGCACCCTGGTGAACGGGCGCAGGACAGGCGCCAGAGCATTTGCGATGGCGACTGGGCGGAGTCCAGGGTTTTTTGTCTTTCAGGTACACCTGGACCTACTATTCTGTGTTCGTTTGTCTCTCCTTTCTGTCCTCTCAAACCAGTCAGTCAAAGCAGATGGCCGTTTGTCCTGAGCCTGGTTCTGCTGGAGGTTTCTTCCTTTGAAAGGGGAGTTTCTTTTCCACTGTTGCCACTGTGCTTGCTCAAGATGGGAGACTGCAAAGAAGCCAAGATTTAACATGTCTACTGGCTTCCTTAGATATAGAATTTTACTAATTGGCTTTTCTATGTATGTGAATGTTTCTGTAAAGTGCCCTGAGACAACTTTGTTGTGATTTGGCACTATATAAATAAACTAAATTGAATAGTATGTTAGTAGTATTTTTAATATGCATTTTTAGTATGTTAGTAGTATTTTTTTAATATGTTTTTTAGTAGTGGGCAGCGTGGTGGCTGGTAGATCTGCTGCCTCTCAGCGAGAAGGTTGCTGGTTCCAATCCCGGTCCGGGGGCCTTTCTGGGTGGAGTCTGCATGTTCTCTCCGTGCATGCGTGGGTTTTCTCCAGGTACTCCAATTTCCTCCCACAGTCCAAAAACATGCATGTTAGGCTGATTGGTAACTCTAAATTGTCCCTAGGTGTGAGTGAGAGAGTGAATGGTTGTTTGTCTCGTTTGTCTCTGTGTGGCCCTGTGATGGACTTGCGACCCGTCCAGGGTGTACCCCGCCCCTCGCACAGTGATTGCTGGACATGGGCACCAGCGACCCCCGTGACCCAAAATGGAATAAGCGGGTAAAGAAAATGGATGGATGGATGGATGGAATAGTATGTTAGTAGTATTTTTAATATGCATTTTTAGTATGTTAGTAGTATTTTTTAATATGTTTTTTAGTAGTGGGCAGCGTGGTGGCACAGCTGGTAGATCTGCTGCCTCTCAGCGAGAAGGTTGCTGGTTCCAATCCCGGTCCGGGGGCCTTTCTGGGTGGAGTTTGCATGTTCTCTCCGTGCATACGTGGGTTTTCTCCGGGTACTCCAGTTTCCTCCCACAGACCAAAAACATGCATGTTAGGCTGACTGGTAACTCTAAATTGTCCTTAGGTGTGAGTGAGAGAGTGAATGGTTGTTTGTCTCTTTTGTCTCTATGTGCCTCTGTGATGGACTTGCAACCTGTCCAGGGTGTATCCCGCCCCTCGCACAGTGATTGCTGGACATGGGCACCGGTGACCCCTGTTACCCAAAATGGAAGAAACGGGTAAAAATAATGGATGGAATTGATATTTTTTAGTAAGTTAGTAGCATTTTTTTAGTATGTTTTCAGTATTTTTGCTGCATGCTTTGATATTTCTTGTTGTTGTATTTTTTTTTATCGAGTCGAGACAGTTCATCTCGTCTTAAGCATTTCATTGCATTCTTGACCCTGTGTTGATTTTGCACATGACAAATAAAAATAAACCTAACCTATAAGCTCCGGTGAAGCTCCAGTGAAGACACCAATCCCCAAAGAGCACCTCTGTACCCGAGAGACTCCCTGCGCCAGTGAGCTGAAAGTCAGGTTTGCCTGGCTGGTGGAGTTTCACCTGCGGACTTGAACGCAGCTCAGTGCTCTGTGGAGACCTGCCGATTCTCTCCGCCTTGCCGAACTGCACAGATGCGTCGTGTTTGCGGGGATGAAGATGTTTAAGTCCTATGGTGGAGCTTCAGAAAGCAACTGGTGAGAGGAGCACAGAGCGCTGGAGGAAACCAGCACCTGAGCTGTCGGGTAGTGCTCAGATTGACTGATGGGGCTGGAAGTAGTCCAGGTCCAAATTCCCAGTCGGTTCTGTATGGCTCTCTGCAGCCAGTGAGTGGCAAAGTCACTTTGAAGAAGGTCCAAACTTTTAATCAGGTTCGGATTGGGTCAGTTTGTTGTTATGAGGCTGCAGAGGAGCTGAGATGCTGTTGACCGTAACAGTAGCAGGTAGCAGGAAGATGATAGATACAAGAAAATACAAGATAATGCTAAACTGGAGCAAGAGCATGACTTTCAAAGAGACTTTCATGACATCAAAGAGATTAGCTTGGCCCTGTCTTTTCTGTCATAAAATTCAAAATTACCTATTTTTTTTCCCCCAACAATCTTACGTTTTTATTGTTTAAACATCTGATATATTACTCTGTTCAATTGTGAATAAAATATGGGTTTAGGAGATTTGCAAATCATAGTGCACTGTTATATTTACATTTTTCCTAAAGTCACATTTTTTCAGTGTTGACATTATGTAGTATATTGATATAACTCAAGGTTTTTTGTGTGAGTAGAGTTTTCAGGTAAAAAAAAGAAATAAGAAGTTAATGGTGAATTTTTAGATGAAACAAAAACAAGGATGTAAGTACAAAAAAAACAAGTATATTTACATTATTAGGTATATGCAAGCTTGGTAGAAGACGGCATATATTATGTGTGTGTTTGTGTGCACCTTGAGGCCTTCGGCTTGTGAGCAGCCAATCAGGAAGAGGTTGTTTCTGTGTGTGTCTGTTTGAGGCCACAGCTCTTCACTGGGCTCATCCAGGTTCCACCAGCAGAGCGCCACATCCTGGAGGCGGTTAAGACCCACATGTCTGTGGCGTCTACTCGACCTACCCACCTCTACACACACCACCTGAAAATTGAAACACGTACAGATAAAAAAAATAAAAAAAAACATTCACTTAGAAGAGGTCAGAAGACAGAAACCTTCAGAATCAAAATAAATCTTAAGGGGAAGTTATTAGTGAATCTCAGTGATTAATCCATTTGGATTCACGTTCCTGGTCTGATTTATCACCTCAGGGCTCAGACACCTGCACAATTACAGCCCCAGATGTACCTCTTGTCCTTCCCCCGTTCTGTTTTTCTTGATGTCTAAGGTTGTTTTTCATCTTCCATTATTAATGTCTGTGTGCGTTTTATTCTGTCAGGCTTGTTGTTTTAGTGATGCACATATTTTTGAGAAGGTCCGCCACGCTCTATGGGCCACAACAAAGAGATGCACATTAATGAGCTCTCGTGGTGCTTGGAGGGGGGTTGTACGCACATACTTAAATCTGTGCATGTGTATATACACAAGCACAAGTGCATATACAAGCAGACGCAGTGATATGAAAGTGTAAATAAAAAGTGTCTGCACACACAAAATTAAACAATTCAGAAGCACTTCTAAAGCGGGTGAAATTACAGGTCTTACACTTTGACCCCACCTTTGAAATACACCAGAGCTCATTCCATCGCTACACACACTCACACACATACACAGCCACATTCATACAGGCCTTTCATACACTCTTTATCTCCAGTCACACTCACAAATACAATGAAGCAGAGTTGATGGTGGACACACACACATGCACACATCTATGACCTCTGTCATAGTGCAGAAGAGTGGCTAGGAAACAGCAGATAGGGAGAGGAAAAAGGTGAAAAAGGAAAAAAAAGAAGAAGAAAAGGTGATAATGAGGAAAAAAGAACATTGTTTGGATTTGAAAATAAGGTTAAGACTGAGGAGCAAAACATCTTATTTTATGCATTATACATTCAGGAAAATGGGAACAGGAATAAAAGATGCTTGAATTAATAAAAAAAAGACAAATCAACAACAAACACATGAGAAGGGGGAAAAAATTAAGAGTGATTGAAACATTTGAAAATTTTCCAAAAAAGTTCAATCTGGTCCTCTGGACATTCAAAAAAACAAAACAAAACAAAAAATATATAAAAACGTTTTGTCTCTCATCCAAGAGACTTCCTCAGTCCTGATGATGTTGATCTTCTAGAAGAAGATCTAGAACCCTGGCCTGATGATGTTGATCATCATCAGGCCAGGATTCTGCGGTCTACACTCATCTCCAGGCCAGCAGTCACTCTTTCAAGGATGAAGATGTTCACATCCTGGACAGAGAGGAAAGATGGTTTGAGAGAGTAAAGGAGGCCATCTTTGTGAAAAGAAATCGTCCATCATTAAACAGGGGTGGAGGCCTCCGGGTTCAACTGTCCCCCTCTTACAATGCTGTGATTGCTAGTATCACTCAGCCCCCTGTGAATAGTAAACAGCCATCAGTGTGCTAATGATCCATTGTTAGGCTGATGGTCCTTCTTGAACATGTGATCAGCTGGTTTTGGTTGTCAGCAGCAAACTGGTTGATCCACTCTGAGAAGGTGCTATTTAAGAGACTGAGCTGAATACAGCACCTCAGACTGAGGAAGTCTCTCGGATGAGAGACGAAATGTTTCTACATTTTTTTGCTTTGTTTTGTTTTTTGTTTTTTTGAATGTCCAGAGGACCAGATTGAACGTTTTTGGATTTTTCTACCTGGATTCTTGAGCATGCATCAGGATATTTGAAAGTTTTGCACCAAAACAATCCAGAAAAAAAGCAGATTCTTTAAATCTCACTAACTGGCATTTTTTAGATGTAGGAATATAAAAAAATGTATCTTTACAAATTATTGTATCAGTACAAAACTGTTTTAAAAGCCCAGGAACATGCAGGAACTGGTGAGCTGTATTGAATGAGTAGAAAAGATTTGAGACTCAGCCGTCCATGTCTGCCCTTCTGGCCCCCCTTGAGGGGAAATTTGCTTTGGACACAAAATATGCCTGAAAATGATGGAAGTACATGTGATGATAAAGGGTACAACGAGTTTCCCCCAAACAGCTGAACGGGAGATCATTGACAGATTAGAGATGAAAAAGAGGAAAAATCTGAAAATCACTGGGTTAATAACACACTATATCTCCACCACCCGGATGCCCCCTCCACCTCCTACCCATCTCTTCACTCTTCTTTTTTTTTTCTGCTGGCGTTTGCTGGTCAGCAATAATCAAAAACCACTTTCTGTGGGCCGGATTAGTTTAGCCCCCCTCAATACCCCTTACTCTCCCTTTTCCAGCTTAGCCCACTGGACCAGGTCCATGTGTGTATGTGTGTGTGTGTGTGTGGGGGGGGGGGGGTTGTGCATGCGTGTTTGTTGTGGGGGATGAGTAGATGAGTGTGCGTGTGCTCGCGTGCATGTTGCAGGTTACATGCATGAATGTGCATGCACGTTGACAGAGGTGGTTGTGTAATATGAAGTGGTGGTGTTGGTGATGAAGGTGGTGCCTTATCAGGACAGACACACGGTAAAACGATTGCTTTCACACACACACACCACATGAACGCACCCTCATACACACACCTTAATAAAAAAAAGGCCTGGTAGTAATGTGATAATGCCGGGGTTAGCGGTTAGCCAGCTATAAAAGGAGGAGACAGCGTAGGTCTGTTTTCAGGGATAACCAGGGCCGATCATGATCAGATTTATTTCTAACATCTTTGAAACAACCTTCAGATCAGAATGAGCTAAAAAACATGCCATTAAAGGTCCAGCCTTTCATGAAGGACTGCATATCACCTGCTGCCTTTCATGCCATAAGAAGGAATGGAGTTACTGTATATCCATTTTGATCAAACCTTATTAATGACATAGTGCACAATCTCATGCAATATTGTGAGATCTCATGAGATGCATTAAGGTTTTAAGTCTGTGTTGAGAATGACTCTCAGTTACTACTATACCATCTATCCATTATCTTTTACCCGCTTCTTCCATTTTGGGTCATGGAGGTCGCCGGTGCCCATGTCCAGCAATCGCTGTGGGAGGGGCGGGGTACACCCTGGACGGGTCTCCAGTCCATCACAGGGACACATAGAGAAAAATAACCATTCACTCTCTCACTCACACCTACAGACAATTTAGAGTTACCAATCAGCCTAACATGCAGGTTTTTGGTCTGTGGGAGGAAACCGGAGTACCCGGAGAAAACCTACGCATGCACGGAGAGAACATGCAAACTCCCCCCAGAAAGGCCCCCAAACCGGGATTTAAACCAGGGTCCTGCTCGCTGAGAGGCAGCAGCTCTACCAGTTGCGCCACTGTGCTGCTTTACTACTACACCATTACTGCCAATTTTAGCTTAATATCTTTAAAAGTATCCTGATGCATGCTCAATAATCCAGGTAGAAAAATCCAAAAAAGTTCAATCTGGTCCTCTGGACATTCAAAAAAAAACTAACAAAAAAAAACAAAGCAAAAAATCTAGAAACGTTTCGTCTCTCATCCAAGAGACTTCCTCAGTCTGAGGTGCTGTTTTCAGCTCAGTCTCTTAAATAGCACCTTCTCAGAGTGGATCAACCAGTTTGCTGCTGACAACCAAAACCAGCTGATCACATGCTCAAGAAGGACCATCAGCCTAACAATGGGTCATTAGCACACTGATGGCTGTTTACTACTCACAGAGGGCTGAGTGATACTAGCAATCACAGCATTGTAAGAGGGGGACAGTTGAACCCGGAGGCCTCCACCCCTGTTTAATGATGGACGATTTCTTTTCACAAAGATGGCCTCCTTTACTCCTCTCTCAAACCATCGTTCCTCTCTGTCCAGGATGTGAACATCTTCATCCTTGAAAGAGTGACCGCTGGCCTGGAGATGAGTGTAGACCGCAGAATCCTGGCCTGATGATGTTGATCTTCTGTGCTGGGCCATCCTTTTGGCCAGTGGCTGTTTAGTTTCCCTGATGTAAGACTGATCACAGCCCTCCTGACACTGAACAGCATGCACAACATTACTCTGTTTGTGCCGGGGGACTGGATCTTTGGGATGAACCAGTCTTTGCCGTAATGTATTTTGGGGTTT